TCATATAAAACATTACTATTTTCCAAGCAAAAGGAAGGGTACATGGCAAATCTTGCACTGCCCATAGGCTTCTGTGAAGAGCTGGAACACAAATTTTCCACTCATATTATTCCAAAGCAGGTGTCATAACCATGTCTAGTTTTAAAGGATGGATGAATCCAATATGTGACGAAAAGTAGAGGAGAACTGGAACCATTTTGTACAATCCTATGGACTACCACAGAATGAGAGTCCATATGGAGATGGTTTATTTTCTTTTTTGATCATGAGATTACATTAGAAAATAGTAACATACAACATCTGGTGATTGGCCAAAGAAAATAGTGTTTATTTTGTAGCACATTTTTGGTTCAACATACATGTGGCAGTTATAAATATGGGAGTTCGTCCTCGCTATAGACTACCATCAGTGGTATATCATGCTCCAGGTCAATGACCCATCACCCAGAACAGCAGGAAGCTTGAATGTCTCAAAGTTTGGAAGACAAGGATGATAACTAGATTACTAATTATGTTTTTTTATTACTTTGGTTGCAAAAAGAATTTATTTTTATTCTGTTACAGAAATTATATGTCCTCTTAAATGTGATCATTCATATGTTTATCAATTTCCTTCTCTGAGGTACATAGAATATGAAGTATCAGGAAACAACCCATCTCTTGACCACCACGCCAAGTATTGTCACTCAATTATCTCAGAAAATTCCCTCATTCAAAAATCCATATTTATAATAATTCAATTTCAACCCTAAATTTATAAGTTTAGGCCATTTAAGTTAATCATTACAGTGCAAAGCTAAAATATGAGGAAGTCACTTAAAGTCACAGAAACGGTCTTTACTAAGAACATCCGTATAACATTTAAAAAAAATTTTTTTAGTTATACATGGACAAAATATCTTTATTTTGTTTATTTACTTTTATGTGGTACCGAGGATCAAACCCAGTGCCTCACATGTGCGAGGCAAGTGCTCTCCACTGAGCCACAACTCCAGCCCCAGTACCACAACATTTTTTATTTCATTTCTCTTTGGAAAACTGTATGAAGATTCTCTTAACAGTCAGTGCAGCTCATTATAGAATAACATTATCACATGTCAGCCCATTTCTCTGTCATGAACTTTGAGGTTACTTGCACAGAGTAAGTGCAATTTAATTCTATAAGGGTTCTGTCAAGATCTTTCACAATAAAACACAATGAATCACCATCTGCATGCTGCAAATAAAGCTGTGTATGGGCTGTCATTCAATTGCAGCTTATTTATTAATAGAGCAATGCCTTTTTTGGTTGTGTATATATTTTTCCCTTGGTACTAATCTCAATGTACTTTTATCAGTCTTTATTACAGATTACAGATTGTAGAAATTAGTTAAGGAAACTTCTGATCTTTTTTTAAGCATGCATTTAAATTTTAAAACATAAAATTTCATCAAATTATTCTCTTTATATAAGTGCTGCACATATTCCAGGAGCTGATTCAGTAGTTTCACCCAAATGTTAAGCAAAATATGGGATTACCTCAACGTATAATAATAACTACTGTTGCATTTACATAAGGAAATAAAAAATCTTTGGCAAAAGCTTACAGTGCCTCATTTTTTTTTATCATAACTTGTGTTACACATTTTTTTTTAAGGAATGGTCCTGTATCTAGTTTTGCTCCAGTGAATGCAACTAAGAAAACACTTTAAAGTATTAACTAGCATGTGTTTCTGAAAACATCAAAAAACTTAACCACAAAAATTCCAAGCATTATTTGAATAGGAAACCAAAACTTCAAAGGTTTCTTACTAGCACAACAGAGACCAGGAGAGAAAGTGTTCTTGGCTCAGTACAATTTAATTTTTAGATAATCTTTGTCATACTTCCTAACTGCACATTTCTTAACTAGCATTTGGTTCACCTATCTCACAATATATATTCATATTTCATATTGTTATTAAAGGACTTTTCACTAGATACATTAAGAAGATAATTTAGAATTATTTTATATGTATTGTCATTTTTGCTATTTCCCACAGTAAAGATAAAGCAACACAATAAGAATAACAAAGGCATCACCACACTTAACAAATAATTCCATGCAACTGGGATGAACTGTCAGGCAAGTTGAAGTGACCTTTCACAACTTCTGTATAACCTGCTTCTTTTAAAATTCCAAAATTGTTACTAAGAACATTATTGTGAACATAAATTTAATCTTAATGGTTCAAAGTTGCAAAACATAAGATAGATAAATTATATCATGTGTTATTCCTTCTGTAACTTCTAGATTGCCTATAGATTGGCTACAAACTTTCATGGACTATTAATGGTATACATGCCTACCATACCACAGGCAGGCTGTGTAAGATATAATGTTTATATAAAGTCCCCATATTTACTTTCATTTGTACTCTCATTCTCTTTTTCATTAACATACGCCCAAAAGAAAAAAAAAAAAGCCTCTGTGCTGATTTCAACAGATGTCTATACCACATTTACAAATCCAGTCTTAGATTCTCCCCCAAACTTCAGACTTAGAGGGTTGCAAGACATCTCTAACGTCTAAAAGGCATCATCAATTTATTACATACAGAATAGAGTTCTTGGAAGGTCTTCTCCAAAGCTGGCTCCCCTCTAAAGAGTCCCATCTTATTATACCAATTGTCTTTGCTTTTCTCTTGTTTGTTTTGTTTTTGGTGCTGGGGATTGAGCCCAGGGTCTTGTGCTTGTGAGGCAAGCACTCTACCAACTGAGCTATATCCCCAGCCTTATTATACCAATTGTTCAAGCCCAAATTCATCCAATGCGTTCAATTGTTCAAGCCCAAATCTAAGAATCAATTGAGTCTTTTGCCCTTCCATATGCTACAGATCTTATATATTAATAATTTCTGTTGATTCTGCTCTGAAAAATATACTAGAATCTGAAAACTTCAATACTCGTAATGCTGTCTTCTTGGTCCAACCTGCTATCATCTTGCTCTCTCTTGATCGCCTCATTATTTTATTACTGGTTTCACTTGTTTCTACACTGTACTGAAGGTTGTGTTCTGTATTCTCACAGTGGACAGAGAGACCTTTCCAAAAAACAATTTAGGTCAGGCCAAAACTCTCCAACGGCTTGTCATGCTTAAAATGAAGTTCAATGTTCTCACTATGGCCCGAGAGACCTTACGTGATCTGCTCTCCAGCTGCCTATGGAGCCTACCTTGAATTTTCCATTCCAGACATACTGGCTTTTGGAGTATTCCTTCTGTACATTAAGATCATTCTTTGTTCTGAGTTTTGTACTTGAGGTTTCCTCTGCCTAGAACACCGTACTCCTTTGTATTTGTTTGACTTGCTCCCTTACTTCCATTAGTTTTTTTTTTTTTTTTTTTTGCTTGTTTGTTTGTTTGTTTCTGACCATCCTAAACTTAACTCAATCCTGTTGTCCTGGTTTATTTCTCTCCAGAGTCTCATCACTCTCTGGTATTGTATTGCATGCTTATTTTTCACAACTTTCTCCCACTGGAATGTAAATTTCACTAATGCAGAGACTTTGAATTGGGTCAAGAGCCATATAATCAGTGAGCAAATAAGTATATGATGTCCTATCTTTTAGTTCTGTGGATAGCAGAATGCTACAACACAGAAGAGATGATAGAATCTCTAAAAAAGGAAAAGTTGGTTGCCAGATCTCAGGGGAATGGAACTCTGTGAAGAAAGAAAGAAGTGTAAAGGGAATTTAGCCTTGGTCTACACAGTGATCACAGGAGTTGGTGGGGCCGCCCATGGGGTTTCTAGATATCTTATACCTTTCCCACTGAGGGAAAGCCAATGGCAGAGAATTCATATGCTTTGAGAAACTTCCTTTCAGCCTTTGATCAATTCAAAGGTTAAAAATTAGACATGTAATTACGGTTGCTTACTCAAGCTGTGTTCTGTATTAACAAAAATTAAACAGCGAACAACTTCACCTGATAAAGATTGAACATAAATACAGTATAAATTGAATTCCAGCAACGTCTAAATGTTAACTGTATTGGCTAGGCTACAGTTTAAATCTGTGTTTATATTGAGTCTTGAATCCTCTGAGTATTCATAAACTCGAATTGTTGAAAATGTACATTAACCACAAGAAGAATTGCAAACAGGAAGAACAGTTGATACATCCATTCCTTGAAAGGCATAAGCTGTATGCTACAACAAATTCTCTAAATAGTCACTGGGTTCATATGGCTTTGAGGATGATGATGATAGGTACTTCATTACTGGGAACTTCTAGGAGGTCAAATATGACAGATTTATGGGTTTTTGGTTCTGATTAATGAAATATCATTTAGTTCTTAATGGCCAAGGGGTTACTGAATGAAAAAATACAACTGACATATTTCAAGGGGGGTTTTCTTATGACCAATTGAATACATCAGTTTAATAGTCAATTCTACTATGAGTCAATACAAAATTCAAATAGACATTTTAGCATATTTGTTTCACCTCACTCTTCTTGAAACTGTTATTAGCCAGAAAAACATTACAAAGGTTTACTATGGAGGCATACCAGCCTGTTTGGATATTTTCCATTATTGTACTAGACAGTAATATTTGGGTAACTAAAACTTTAGTCAGTAAGAGTTTACTCTATCAGATTTACCTATGAAAGACTTAGCTGAGTGTTCTCTTAAGAAAATCTCAGCTCTCATTAACTGTGGCTGTTTCTACCTGAATTTCTGGTGGCTTCACATGAGTGCTAAATAGTTTAGACTACATGGAACACTTATCTACTGCAGCATACCCTTCTCTGGTACCAGAAGATCAACATTTGGTTTTAGATAAATGTATAAATCCTGGATGGATCTAATTTAAGAATTTAGCAGACTAAATTATATTTTATCATCTGTCCAAGGATCTAAAAATAGGCAGTAAAGATGTAGTTCTAATCTTAACAATTTCAACCAAGTGTGTGGAAAAACCATGTTTTCTATTTAAAAGACATATGGCTGAATATAGTTATTAAAATGTTAGTGTCCTACCTCTCGGATTGCTGTACAAAACTCACTCTGAAGCACTTTTTTGAGAGACTGTAGCTTGTGTACTGGTACTTCTCCAGATTCCTGTAGTTTTTCCAGTAATTCAATTGCTCTTGCAACATCTGGATAAAAAAATAAATACATAAATAAAAATGGAGAGACCTAGAATAAACTGTATCTCATCAGCAAAATACCATTATTTCAATTGAATGGTGACATTATTCCAATTGAAAACCACATAAAATTTATTGCAAAATCAAAACTTGTAACTCAGAGATCATTGTTTTTATTTTTTGGTAAAAAATCAATTTAATCTGTTCCAGATAATTTGTTACTTAATATATCTTCTAGAATGGCATTTCATGTATGTTACTTTTGTCAGACAAATCAATTTGAAAAAGAAGAAAGTGCAGGAAAAATGTCTGTTACTTAATCTGATACAACAATAACCATCTATGGTCAATTGAATCTATGAGATTTTTTTTTTCAGTCTGACTCTCCATACAACACTTTCATTGCAATTGCAATGTTACACTTATTAGTATGATCATTTGATTGATGTGCATTCACCTTCACTTATCTATGAACTCCTTTAACGAAGGAACTTGATCTAGTTTGTTTGCCATTGCATCCCCCAGAGTCTGGTATGATACTATGAATAAATATTCAAGGAATAAATAAATTAATGGACTCTCCACTTCTCCACCACTGGATTATTCCAGGTCCTTATTATCTCTTCTCAGTTCAACTGGAATGATTTCTTCTCCTCCAGCTTCTTCATATGGCCCACAAGTTTATCTCTCTAAAACAAAACTTTGATCATGTACCCATCTATCAACTTCAATGTTACGAAGCATAATATTTTTCAATGTTTATATCACAGGTTAATGTTTCAAAATACATATAGTCTTTAGTTGCTATAAAACCTAAAATCCCTATATTATTTCTTATTTTCAAGAGAAAATTATATAATAAAAGACTATTCAAAAATAATTATAGTGATCTCTTCCACTCTGTTTCTATGGACAACAACATCTAACTAAAATATCACTTAGGTTTTTAAGTAGTAGGACATGATGTTTTCAATTTCTAGGTGACTGGTTCCATAAAGTATTACACATTCCAGCAATCAGATTATAAATCCATCCATCCATCTATCCATCCATCCATCCATCCAGTAATTTGCATTTCTATTATACCTGGCACCAAGCTTAACAACAAACAACACTTCCTTTCTGAACTCACAGAACTCATGATCTAATAAGACTGGAATACATCAGCACAGCCACCAATAAAAAAACTGTCCACTTCAGAATATGGGTGAGGTTAACATAGGTGTATGTATATATTGAAGAAAATAAGCAAAAAGTGACTTTATCGAGACTCCCCTGCTGAAGTAGTTATTTTGATTGCCAATTGTAGCCCAAAGTAGCACAAATCATGAAATCAATATGACACTGACAGTGTCTAAAGTTTGTCTGTTAGTACATAAATAGAAGACAACATAGTCAATTGGACAACGCTGGTCACATCTACAATCAATATGGTACCACGCTGAGATTTTTAAGCATTTCTAACTGCATAAAACACTTCACTCAGATGCCCCATAGGCACATAGAACTCTCAGTATGTTTACAACTAAGCTCATTATATTTTTTCCCTGAAATTATCTCTTCTCTTCCAATATTCTGTTTCCATTAATGGTATCCCCAAACAGCCTGTCTCCCAAACTAGACCATGACATCATCTTTCACACTTACCCCCACGTGTAGTTTGTCAGCAAGTGCTATAGATTCTACCTCAAAAATACCTTTTGAATGGAGCTCTTCCCCTTCATTAATTCAGAAAAGCCTTTATCATTTCTCACTGTAGTACTGGCACATCTCCTAACAGAGCTCCTTTAAAATAATCTTTTTTTTTTCAGTTCATCCTCCATGCTGCTTCTAAAGTAACTGTCCTGAATGAGAAACCTAAATATTATTCTCCTGTATGTAAAACCTCATGCAATCCCACCTGCTACAGAATAAAGTTTGGATCACAGGGTTTTATAGAGGGCCCTCAGCAGCCTACCTATTCTGACTCAGCTCGGTACACCTCCTCCTGCCTATTCTGCACTATGACCATCCAAAAATTTTGCTGTTCCTAGAACATGCTACAGAATGTCATGCCTCTATGGCTTGGCACATATTGCCCTCTGTTCTTGGAATGCAATTCATCCCATCATTCATGTATGTCTTCATTCATTCAGTAGTTTTGGGTCCTGTGCTGTGCACAGGAGACACAGTGGTAGAGGAGACAGCTCTTTCTCTTGATTTCATGGAGTATCCAGGCTTAAAAGTCACTGATGTGCAATAAAGATGTGCATGTTACAAACAAAGCACTACTGTGTGGTCCATGGATATATGACAAAGGCACATATCATCATTCAGGAAGTCAGAGAGAACTTCTTTGTGAAACTAATAGCTAAGCAAAATCCTAGATAGTAGGTAAAAGTGGGGAAAGGGCAAAGAATGTTCTAAGCAAAGGGAATAAGCAAATACTGAAGGCTTGTTAAAAGACATTCAAAGAATAGGAAGAAATTCAATGTGTTTGAACCTGAAGCCAGGGAGAGTAGCAAGAGATGAAGTAGATGGAAATTGCATCATGGAGGGTATTTTAGTCTATGTAGGAATGACTTAGCTTAAATAGCATTTCTTCAAGCCTATCTTCACTGACTCTTCAAGGCAGATTGAGTTGCTATCATTACTGTGTTCCCAAGTTATCTGTTTACTTGTCCATTGTAATAATTATTACTTTCTGTTGCACATCTATTTGCCTATCTGTCTCCCTCCTTCATACCCATGAATCTATAAGCTTATTGAGGTGTCAGGAACAATGTCTTATTTGTCATTATCTCATTCATTGCAGAGTACCTGGCACATAATTAAATGTTTAATGTGCATTTGTTTGGTTAATGGTAGATTAATTAATGAGACTGGCTCAGGAAGGCATTAGAGGTCTATGTATGCATAAACCATAACTCCTCATGAATCTATATCTCCACACATCAGTATCAGCCTTGGTCAAGATTTGCTTGGGCATCATGTGAGAGAAGGAGGTAAGCCAGAACCTGTAGGCTGAAGGATACCAATGATGATAGTTCTCAGCTAATGCTATGCATTGAAATTACCTGGGGTGCATTTGTCAATTCCTGAGACCCATCCCAAAATAATTAACCTAGAATTTCCAGAAGAATGGTTTTCAACCTTTGCTGCATATTGGAATTACCTAGGGAGCTTTAAAACACACAGCTTCCTTATTCAGGCCCACCCCAGAGACTCCAATGTGATTGGCACAGGGTGGGAACTAGGAATGGGGCTAAAGTGCAGCTGAGATTGAGACCACTGCTCTAAGCCAGCATGGGATTTGGGGTTTTTTAAAAACTCATATGTTATTTGAATGTGCAGCCAGGATTCAGAACCTTTGCTACAGATTTATGGTTCTAAAACGTGAGTAGTGTGCCTACAGATCACTTGGGAAAGCTTGGGAAAGCTAACTAACCCTCCTAACCCTCCTCTCCATTTGAGAGATGTCAATTTAGGAGGAGTGAGAATAAGGCCTAGGTATCTTCTTTTTAAACTAATGCTTGAAGTGATTCTGTAATTGTTAGTTCACAGACCCCAAAGGAGGAAAAATGAACAAAATGATCTTTTGGGTTTCTTTCATCACCAGTACTCCTGGAACTCCTGCCCTTCATTATTCTTTGATGTGATATGTGAAAGAATACTGAATGGAATTTTTCCAGAAGTCTCAGAATTATTGATAAAATCTCACAGATGAAAGTGATGGAGATTGGGTACTACTCCATTCGAAAAATTGGTTCTTACCAAAGACCAATCAGTGGACTCACCTGAGACATTTTTTTAAGTAGCGCATTACCCCAAGCCAATTAAACTGAAATCTCAAATTGTGGTATCCACTCCTTAGGTTTTCTTTCTAAGCTTCCAGATGATTCCCGTGGCCATCCAAGGCCGAGAAAAACATTGTTCTTAAAAGAGTCACCAGAGAAAACAGATACACCTCCATTAAGACATTAAAGCTGAGATGATTTTGCTATTGTATACCCTGGGTCTTTTTTAGTCCTTATAAGAGGTAGCTGGGAGATGAGATAGCATTTAAGGAGTACTGTCATTAATTTCAAATAGAGTACTAAGTGTTTACTTCCATTCCAACAACTAAGTGAGGAGGGTTCTGACAGAACTACTTGTAGTGAATGGGCGGGCGTGCCTGAAAGAAGGGAGACGAGCATGTCTTTCCTGGTTGCATAGGAAATTGTCCTGGGTGACCTGCCTGCCCTCTATGTTCCTCTGAGCACAAGGAGAGAACTAGATAGCAGGAGCCTGTAGATTGAAACTCTTTTGTTGGTACCCACCCAAGGGAGGCTAGCAGTGTGAGGTCAAGGAAACACAGCAGCTAGCAAGAGACAAAGGAAGGCTAGGCACAGTGGTGCACACCTGTAATCCCAGCAACTCAGGAGCCTGAAGTGGGAAGATGGAAAGTTCTAGACCATCCTCAGCAATTTAGCGAGGCCCCCAGCAACTTAGTGAGACCCTGTCTCAAAATATAAAAGTGCTGGGGATGTGGCACTGCTGGGTTCAATCCTAGAATTCCCCCAATGTGCACAAAAAAGACAAATGAAATCTCAGAATCAAACATGGAAGAGGTCAGGGCCCTCTAGGCCAGGCCTGGGTGGAGCTGAGAACAAAAAGATGGTGAGTGATAAATGGATATGAGATTGGGGTTTTAAACAGAATGTGGATTCCCTTCAGCTCTGTACCAGAAAGCTTCATGACCAGGATCTGGAAGGAAGAAGAAGCAGCTTTTGTGTCGCCACAATACTTAAACAACTACAATACAGGGTGTATGGTTTATTTGTAAGAGACCCCCCTGAGGGAGGGTTCTTCTTCAGAACCCCCTTATGCTTATTTTGTAAAACCCTTCTGACAAGTTTGGTGGCTAACATAGTAGTTTGGGGTTTACTAGTCTAGCTCAGATAAGGATGAATATTAGGTAAAACTGGGGAGACTGGCAAACAAAGATAATAAGCGCAAGAAGACCATGGGATTTTTTTCCCCCTGAAGCC